AATGTGCTGTACTATATGCTCTGTATTATTGTATACTATTTCTGTGGACTCTTCTGCTATTTTTTCAACTAAGGATCCCTAACACAGACTTGAAAGAAACAGCTACTTTCTACCACATTTTTTAACTGAGTGAGAACAAAATCCAAGATCAGACAAACACACACAAACCCCACAGAAGTTCGGTAGGTAATGACCACTACAGACCCAAAATGACCACTTTTAGTTAACACTGTCCAAGCAGCAGAGATGGACAACACAACGCACAAGGCACCAGTTGGACTTGTAGGGCTTTACACAGACAAGCAGTTTGGACAGGAGGGTGTTAACACTTCCCTCCCCAGCGGAAAACCCGCGCTATTCTCACGGCATCCATGTAGGAACATCCACGGTCAGGATGACATGTCATACACACACCTCCTTTAAGGTTTACAACATCTTAAACATCGATAAACTCACTTCACAGATGAGAAGACTGAGGTCAGCACCCAAAGGAGCCAGAAACTGGCACGACCAGCATTTATCACTGGATCTCTGTTACTACATCCGCCTTCTCCAGCCCGAGCTGTGCCCTCTGCAGCCAACCCTAGTTATTACATCAACCCTGGATGCTTCTCTTAACCCCATGGGGTCATGGGGTCAGCGCCCGCCCGAGGGGAGTAAGGGCACTGAAGTCCTTCCCCTGGCACGCCTACTGCCACAGAGGGACCGGTGGCAGGTGAGACCTTCCCATGCTGTTTATGGTCACAAAAGGCACCAGATCAGGACATCTGCCAACGCTACCAACCCACAGGCCTATCCGAGAAGTCTACGTAGCCCTGGGCTGGTAAACAGGACTGCACTTACCAGTGACGCACAGTCCACTGATTTTCCAAACCATGGAGACAGTTTAGAACTTTAAGAAAACTCATCATCATGAAAACAACCACTAAGGGAAACCACTAACCTCTGAGTGTGGACCAGGCGCTCTGCTGAGAACTTCACAAGCAGTGCCACCCAACCCCTTCGACCTTCGCCACAGCCCAGCCTCCGGCAAAGGCATCAGGGTCTCGGACCCAGCTTTGCAGGCGGGGAAAGGGCGCAGAGCAGTGAAGACAAGCCTGCGGGTGCTACTGGGGAGGGTCACCAGCACGTGACACTGTGTCCTGAAACGGAGCGTGCGCTCGCCCCGCAGGACTCCAGGGTGTCTGTCGCCGAAGGCACAGATGCGAAACTGAAAATAAAATTTGATTTAAACTTCCTCCAGCCAGTCTTTAAAGAAGAGGGTGAGGAATTAACAAGTTGATCGTGGGGCTGCTCCCGGCAGAGCACGGGATTTTCACGGCTAAAACAGGGAGAGCGGGGTGCCCTATTAGCGGGCTTCTGTAATATTTTATTAGGCTTTAGATCATTAAAAAAGCACAAAATCTTATGGCACTTTCAGACCCGCACTGGCCCTCACCGCACCTCCTCACACCATCGTTTAAATGCTGAATAATTTTTCAACATCCCGCTTGGGAAAGACCTGGGGGTGGCGGGACAGCGGAGCCTCGCTAATCACCAAGTTCCAATCATCACACCTATTACTGCGACCGGAGTCTGCGGAGAAAGAGGACGCAAATTCCAGGTTAAACTGTAACCTCTCAACTCCAGCTGTGCTTTAATTTTGTTTTCCAAAGTCATCTAGGATTGCTGTCTAAGAAAAACGAAAAACAAAACAAATTTCCCTGTGCCACAAGTAGGTTCAAGGCAGTGGCATTTTTTAGGCCTGGTATTAATCTTATCAGGACCTAAAGACAAAAACTAAGTGAAGCCTCTTAAAACGAGATGAAATGTTAGCCCAAAATCGGCAATAAGCTTCATACAGAGGGAGGCAGAATCTTTTTGGTCTTGCCCGCCCCCCACCGCAGCAATCCCTTGCACAGGACTCTGTCTTAACTGCCAGCTTAGAAGTCAAGCTAAAACGATCTCTAACTGTCCCTTGGCTCTGTACGGGTAAACTGAGGCCCAGGGATGGGAAGCAAACTGCCCAAAGTGAGTTGCAGAGCCGAGTGAGGACCAAATGAATTAAATGGGAAGGGACCTTTCCCTAATTTGGACGAGGAAGCCTCTCCCATTGCCACTAGGTTGTAGCAAAGAAAATGTGGGACCCGTATGAGGGTTTGAAGCTGAATTCAGTGATCCCACAGGGCAGCACAGACCTCCGGTAGATGTGGGAAAGGAAAGAAAATGTTTTAAGAGTCCCACGCGAAATAAACAAGCAACCATTCAAGTAGAAAAGGCAAAATATCTTTAGGGAGAAGAGTAAGGCTCTTCCATGATATCTTGAAAGGTATAGAAAAACTGAAGGAATTTTAGACTAAATATTTCACAGAGATTTTCCAGGTGATTGAAGTTGCTTTTGAGACGAAGGGTAATGACTCTGAATTAATAAACAGGAACATAACATTGCCGCATTCAAGCCAAATACCTGAGCACCTCCGACTGCCTGGCCACAGTGCCAGGTCACAAGGCCTACGAAGTGACAGCCACTTCTGGCAAGGAAAGCCAAGGCCAAGGAAAGGTGGGTGAGCTCCCTAACAAATGCACCTTCAGACGCTCGTGATGTCAAGACCAAAGAAAACCTCCAAGCATCCGCCAGAGCTTCCCAGATCCATGCCCGATGGATCAATGATTGATGAATTGATCGCACAGTATTCCTGAGCACCACAGCCTGCTTGGAAGTACAAGCCTTGCTGCAGGAATTAAATGATGCAGAGGAGAGGATCAGACACAGATCAACAGGCAAGATGGAAGAGGACAGACAGACAGGAAAAAGCAATGGCGGAGGGTGGTGGAACTGTGTGGGCATCGCCATTCTGGACAGAGGAGGAGAGGGACCCCGGCGTTCCAGAAGCACAGGAACCTGAGTTTGCTGTGAAGCCTGTGATAAGCAGGGAAATGCACACAGCTGTGCACAACAGCAAACACTATGGCCGAGACGAGGGCCAAAGCGCCCTCAAGCTGCGGGGCTGACCCATGAGTGGACACGGCGCTGGGGATGAAAGTGGAAGGCTCCCGAAGCCCGCTGTGGGAAAGCCCTCCGTTCCAGCGCTGGAGTCCGATGAAACGGCTACACAGCTGTCTAGGTTGCCATTGCTAATCAGAATTTTCAAGCCCTCTCTCTTCAAAAAGGTAAAATTTCATCCTTTGGATTTTCCATGGTCAGATGGAAGCAGATGAGTTCTAAGGTTGCATGATTTCTAAAACGTCTTGCCCACCCTGGCTCAGGAGCAGGACCTCACAGCCGAGCACAACCAGGCAGATGTGTGCAGACCTGAGGGCTCAGCCGCGCTCCCCCAGCACTCACTTTCCAAGGAATCAGGGCAAAACACCATCTCTTTGGCCTGGTTGGACACAGGATCCACAAAGTTCCTTGCACTCCCTAAACACAAAACATCACAGCTGCAAACAGGAGCAAAAGGACCCTACAGTACAGCATGTACAAGTTTTGTCACGTATTTGAAGAAAAACAATATATGGAAGTAGAATAAAAAGATTTGAAATGAACACACATTTATTGTTCACAGAAGCCATTTTAGCAAAGAACATCTTATTCACCTTAAAAAACTTTGCCTCACAGTCACATTAGCCAACTTTCATAGTCCTGAGAGTATTCCATTCTGGTATGAGAACTCTTTGAAACAGGTTAGTACTAACCATTTGCAAGGGTGTCTTTCTTCCCTCTTCGCATTCTTTCCACTCCCCTTCCTTCCTTCCTTCATCCTTCCTTCCTTCCTTCTTCCTTCCCGCACTCCTTCCCGCCCTTCCTCTTCCCGCTCCCCTCCCTTTCTCCCTTCTCTTCTTCTTGTCAAGCATGCTGCTTTAGTTTCTCACTGCGAGTGACCGACTGGCTCTCTAGAACACACCTGCAAAGCGGCATCTCAGCATCTACACCAGTACCCAGGCAGTCAAGGAGAACGCCTTTCTCTTGGGCTGGTGTTTCTGAATTTCAAAGGGGACTGCATGCGTGTGTGCGTGTGTGTTTGGGAGGGACAGTCCTCCTATATTTTTAAATGCCCACATAAACAATTACTTAAAAAGGAGCTTGTGACTTGGACACGCCCCGAGCTCCATTCTGCCAGGAGAGGTAAAAACACTCAACAGAGTCTAAACCGCCTTTCTGTCCTGACGATACAATACTTTTCAGGGAGGGTCAGTCCTGCTCTGAAAGACTCCCGTTGCCCATCACAAGGGTCTCAAGGAGAATGAGCACCAGGCCTTGAATAAACAAGGGAGCTGGGGACCTTTGCCCCCTTTCTGCCAAAGCCACACATCCTGTAACCAGAAAGGAGCTGGCCTGCCCCGTCTACCAAACCCTGGCCTCTGCGTCACTCCCATCCTGGACTCCTCCTCCGCAGTTCAGACCTGACAGGACTGGACACCACGCCAGGGTGTGACAGAAAGGTGCAGTTCGCGGGACCGATGGCTCCGCTGCACTGTACCCTTCCTTCCCTACACTGCTGAGGCCCCCAGCATGCACCACATGTTTCACTAGCAACAGGGCAGGCAACAGATTTAGCTGTAGCTGAACAATTAGTCCAATTAGGCCGGCTTCCTGGCCAAAGTAAAGGGGTAGGGCAGAGAGTGTGGGAAAATACTACAGAAACTGGAGAGACACATCTCCTCAGGACAGGGTAAAGTAAGTGGAACAGCGGGGTCAAGAGATGCCCGCCAAAATTCACTCTGCGGCATGATGAAAACACCTCACCCTCCCTGTGGCCATCTCCAACGCAAGAGAGCTACCGAAAAATCCCACAACACCGTCCGACGGCGGTGGAGAGCATGCCGGAAGTCTGAACAGTTATGCAGGTGTACCAGATCCCTCCTGGGCTGCACTTGAAGCCACACACACCCATCTGTTTTGTATGACATTGACTTTTTATTCTCGCTGGCAGAATGCTGGGAGAGCATGGCTTTCTTTCTTACTTCACGTCTATGTGCCCGGCTGCTGTTGTGATTCTAAGCTCACCAGCGATACTTACATATGTACATGGGGCGGCTGGAAGCGGCTCTGGTTGATGTTGTAGTGCGTGAAGGCCTGGGTGGGGTTGGAGCTGTACTCATCCACCGTGATGGTAACCTTGCCTTGGGAAGCAATCCCATGTGCCATCTTCCGGCATGAGCGGGTCACAGCTTTCCGGAACAAACCAGGGAAGCAGGCATGGTTCGCTTCAGCCACCCTCTGAATCCAAGGATCTACTCATCAATACCGCTGTGCGTTTCTACAAGGAAGAACACACAGCTGTGGGTGTGCGTGTAGATACAGAGAACAAGGAGAAAGACAGTTCTGAGAGACATTCCAAGGACCGAGGGATGCAGGAGGCGCAAAATATCAATTCGGACGTCATGTACATGCGCCGACCCCCGTGGTGAATGCAATCATGCAAACGCACTGAGAAAACTACAAATTATAAAAAGTCTTTGACACCTAGACATAAACTCGGCTCTGGAAACGGCTGCCCTGGTGTTGCTGCTCGTGGACAAAGCCGTCCCCAACTCTTCCTGTGTGCGCTGCGGAGGGGACGTTCCACTCCCCATGGCACTGCTGGGTGCTCGCAAGTCGTCTCACAGCCGTTCGAACTCAGATTTCCTCTTTAATTATAATTATGGCACTTAACGTGAATTACGGAAGGGGCAAACCCACAGTTGCCATGGCGTCTGGCTATAAACGGCTTGTGCTCAGAGAAGAGACTCTTCCAAACCCTCCCTGCTAATTGGAACGTTTGATTTTTGCAAAGTTGGTTTCAGATAATCCTTTGAAATCTTCATGTTTAACAGCTGCATATAACATGCATGAGAAATGTAAGCAAAAAAAAGAGAGCTCTGTGTTTACATCACATACCTGTGCAGAACTGTGATATGCACACATTCTGTATAACTTCTCTTTTCCCAGAGCAGTCCCCCAAACATGGAAGGCTTGGTATCACACGCATTTGTTTCTGGGCAAGTACTTTATGGTATGGTGAAGCCTTCACTTGGGGAAAATCCCACAGCGTCCAGGACTGGACCACCAGTCTGGATGAGTCCATTACCAGCCCACGCCAGGCCCTGGCAGAGGAGGCAGGGCAGTGGCCACGACATCTGCCACCTTGTTCTTGGTGCTGCCTAATTCTCACTAGTTTTCTTCCCATGAATTCTGATTTTTAAAATGTCATTATATTGGCTGCCACACAGGGTGGAGAAATGAAGGTGCAGAGCCCAAGAAAAGCAAACCCAAGCGTGGATACCGGTGCCACGGAGCAGTGTGGTGCAGAAGAACCCGGAAGCACCCCTCTTGGGGACCACACACTCTCCCTTTAAATATTCAGAATATGCCTGCCTTGTGCACCATTAAACGCCAAAAATCTTCGCTGCTATCTCAAATAAAAATATTTAGAATAATAAGATTAGATTTAAATTTGGCATGAAGCACCTTAAATGTACAGCAAAAGGCAGATGGCCCGCCATAGGCCATTTATTTTATTATTTTACAACCCGGGGCTGTGCAGTGCTCCATATCCTGTGGCTCCACTAAGGGACTCCACTGCCTCCCACCTCAGTCGCTGCCGTCCTCCCGTTAGCAGAGCAAGCTACATAAGGCCACCCAGCCTGCGCTCCTGGTGTACCCGGCACCACCAAAGGATGGGTCCCTGGCACGCTGGCATTAGGGTCGCAGACCTTCTGGGTTCTCTTTCCTCGCCTGCTTCCAGGAGGCACGACTCCTCAAGCACCAGTTGACGGACAGCCAGGCCAGCAGGATTAACTAAATTAAAACCCTTCCCTGCTCCTCCGATGTAAAATATCTACAAGAACTGCTTACAAATCATAATGCAGCAGTTTTCATAGCAAGTTTGCAGCTGTTTCCTTAATTTCCTCCACAATTATATTTTACTGTTATTTTGCATAACAGTAAAACACAACACCTGCTTCAAATTGCAGTCCTGTTCTAAGTACTGTAATTCTCTTCTGAGACACAAAGTACCGAGACAGTACCGAAGCGCAAAACTGCATAATTGCGTGGCGCTGAAAAGTAAATACAAATGAAACATCTTCCTGTTATAGAAATGACTGTCATTAAAAAGAATGTTAGCCATCAAAGCACGAAGGGGAAAAATACACATTTTCAGTCTGCAAGAACGTAGTGCTTGCATAAATTACAGCGTGTTACAAGAATTACTTGGCGATTCTTATGTTGCTTACATCAATGTCTATTGTGTGAAGCACAGAACCCTCAGAGCAAAGGAACCCACGCTCAGGTCTAGACCACCGCCCTGGCGAGCATTTCGGTGCTTCCGGGGTAAACCCACTCACTGAGCACCAAGCGGCCTGCAAATCAAGGGTTCCGATGCAGTAGTGAAACATCTCTCAGGGACTTGTGGGAGTCATTGTCGTACCCTCCCAAGTGCTCCTGCTGGAAGCCAAGAGGAGAGAGGAGACGGGGGAGAATCCGTACTCCTAAGAGTCCCCTCTGTCCCTGGGAGGACACCAGGCCTCCTGGCCCCTTTGCCCCTTTGCCCCAGGGACACAAACCCTGCCTCTCCACATCAGCGGCCCGGGGCCCTGGGACTCGGAGGCCTAACTGGGCAGCGGCTCCTCATCTGAATTCATCTTCGGCGTCGTCCCTTTCAAATGTTTTATCGAAACAGTGCACCTGCCGCGCCTGTCTCCTTTAATCCGGAGCCCTTTGAAGAAATGTCAGACTGAGGCAGAGAGCTTCAAAACTTCCACAGCACCTTTGCAGAAAAGTCAAGAAAAGCTGCTTTCTTAAAATGCTCGGCTCGCCTCCACCCATAGCTCAGAATGAGCGTATCCGGAGGATAGGAAGCACACACACATGCCCAGGTTGGGATTTTTTCCACTCTTAAGAGACAGAGGTCGACCAGCAAAATCATCTCCTTTCATATGAGAACCGGAAAAAGCCTCCCAGCGAACCGGAAGATGCTTCCTAAAACCTTCAAGAAGCAGCACCGCCTCGCTGCCCACTTCCAGGCAGTGAAACTGTCCGGTTCCGCTGCCTGCTGCCCTCTTCGCAGTGGTGCTCGCTTTCCATCCACAGCAGCTAGGGACAGCAGCTTTCTTTTTAAACTTTTCACTTCCTACTTCAGCACATTTGCCCCACAGAAACAAAGGCGCCCACCCCAAGGGCCAAGACACCTACCCGGGAGGGACGCCGGCAAACACGGACCGGCGTTACATTTAATTTGCTTTTAAAAAAATATCCTGGGAGCACATTTTGCATTTCCTAGACAACAGTCACCGCTCTGGTCTCAGGCTGCACAACTAGAAACGTTCTTTCCCAGGGATCCACTCGGAAAGCCTCTTCACATCCGCTAGAAAGGCAAAGACTAAAAACTGAAGAATTAAACAGCTGTCTCCACCTCCTAGATAGCAGAAGTCCGATTTACCCAAAGTTTCCGAGCCACAGTCCACGAGCTCCCTGCCCCGAACCCTGCCTGGCAAAGGCTGCGGGAAAGGCGCCTTCGATCTGCTTGTTAGAGCAGGGATGCTGCTCAGTCCCTTGCCCCAAGGTCATCGCTGGTCCACAGCGCGGTGCAGGGACTTTGGAACTCGCCTGCTCCAAGTCCGCCAAATTTCGCTGTCTCCTCCCTCTGCCTCGCACCCCTAGCGCGGCCCGAGCTCACGCCCCTACTTTCGTGCCCACTCGCCGCTACCCATCCTGGGCGCGCCAGCCTTGCCCACGCGCCCTCCTCCACCGCGTCTCCTCCAGTTTTTGGAGGGTGCGGACACGAAGACCCACGTGCCTCTCCGTGCTCGTGCTCGGAGTGCCGCACCCCCCCCCCACGCGCACTTACACCTGAACTTGTCCCCAGCACTGCGGACACCCGGCTGGCGCATCCTTTCCAGAGGGAGGGAGAGTAGGAGTTTGCTCCTGCGCCTGGCAACGCGTGGAGTCTATATAGGGTGGGGCGGGGAGCGCAGAATTCTCCACTTTGGATTGGTTTGTTTGTTTTAAATCCGGGGTGGGCGGCTGGAGGGGCTTCAGCTACTGCATGCACACACACATGCATGCACACACATGCACACGGCACACTCGCCCTGCCCTCCCGGCTGCGCACCGCCGGCTCCGGGCCGCAGCTCCCCCTTCCTTCCTTCCTGCAGCGCCAGCTCACCTTCCTCCCTCGGTCCGGCGTCGCGCCGCCGCGGCTGGCACTGCTCGCGCGGGGCTGGCTGCTGGGGTCCGCGGGGCGCCTGTCCTCTCCCCGCCCCGGACTGAGGGAGGACGGCGGGCTGAGGGCTGCAACCCGGCCACCCTGGGGGCGTCGCTGTCCCAGTCCCCGGCGTGCCGTCAACCCGGATCTCGGCCAGAGCAGAGCGGAGCCCCTGCGGGCGGCGGGACTCGGGGACCCGGCCGGCGAGCGAGGGGGTGCAGGGCCCGAGGCTCCCCCCCTTTGGAAATCTTTCCTTCTACTTAAAGTTTTGTTTTTTCTGCCCTGACCTGTTTGTGTTCGTGGGTTTGCAGCACAAATCAACCGCACATTTCCAAGACCCGCGTTCCGGCCGGATCTGGGGTGTGCGGGCGAGGGGTGCTACGAACGCGCCGCGGGCGGCTCCTGACTCCGC